CTACACAGTACTTTGAAAGTATTTTCAGAAACAAATTCTTTTTTTTTTTTTTTGGTTACAAACTGTATGGCCGTGGCAGGCTTCTTGCTAACTGAAGAAACGAATTCTTAAGGACTAGTGAAGAGAATAATATTAGCATTCACTGAGTATGGTGTAATAATGAAAACGGTTGGGGGTGGTTTTAGAGTAAGTGTAAGCGTTCAGTTGTATTTCCTGTTTTTTCTTTTCCTCCCCTTTTTCTTCCATCTTTCCCTCCCTCCTTCCTTCCCCCTTTCCTAAGAGCTTTAGAAATAAAGCTGTAAACTCAGCCTTTACTTGAAGCAAATGAGATTAACTTCCTTGGAAGTATTTCTGTTTACAGATAACATCAGCTGGGCCCACATTTGCATCACTAAGGCCACCTTTAATATGAACTTCAGGAAATTTGAAACTCTAAATATTTATAGCTACCAAATCAACAGCTGGCCTGGGCATTACCTTTGAAGCCATTAACATTACTCATAAAGCTTATGCCACTCCACAGGAAACATTTTCTATTGCCTTTCTTCAAAATTCCCATGGATATACCGAACAAAACTTTACCTAGAAACATTATTTCAGCAAACAACGTTGCTGTTTACCTCTCTGGAGCCTCTGGCAGTGACATCAAGGCTTTTGTGGGTGTTTCTAAGTGTTTGGGATTGTGCCTTACCTCCCAGTGTGTGCAGTCTGGCTATGGACTTGGGCTTCCTTTGCACTCCCAGCGCTTCGCCTTGCCATGCTCAGACACAGAGGGAGCAGATGCTGGTTTGCTGATGCACTTCTCTTTACGTGCAGCCAAAACACAGACAACAGCAAAGTGACTACAGCATGCATGGAATCCCAGACAGCAGTCTGCAGCCACCAGGAAGGCGGCTCCTTCAATGGACCTGCACACAGTTCATTTGCTTAAGAGTGCCTCCCTCCCTTCACAACCAAGTGTCTCAATTACGTTACACAGGGAAAAAGATGAGATTAAAATGTAATTTTAGAAATTTATTATCCCTAAGACACAAATGAGGAAAGATGTTTACCCATATGGAGACATAGACTTTTGTTAGATACTCGCTCATTTAATGGGCTTATAAAACAAAGCAGAGAGCAGACATTGTAGGACCCCAGCACAGGAAGGTAGAGGCAGTTTAGTTCCAGGCCAGCCTAGTGCTACACAGCCAGTTAGAGGCCAGCATGGGAGGCCTTGTCTCCAAACTCAACAGAAGCAGAGGGTATTACAAGAGGTGGAGAAACATCAGTATTTCGAAAATACCTTCTGTAGAGAAGGAAAATTACCACAGTGTTCTTTTTCCTCTGTTTTGTAGCAAGGAAGAAATGGAATTATTTTAAAGGTACACTGTGGTGGGATTGTGTTCCCCAAAATATTGTGCACCCTAATAAACTTATCTGGGGTCAGAGACAGAACAGCCACTAGATACAAAGGCTAGAAAATGGTGGCACTCACACCTTTAATCCTAGCATTTCAGAGGCAGAAATCCCTCTGGATCTCTGTGAGTTCAAGGCCACATTGGAAACAGTCAGGCATGGTGACACATGTCTTTAATCCCAGGGAGTGGTGGTAGAAAGCAGAGAGGTATATAAGGCGTGAGGACCAGAAACTAGAAGCATTTGGCTGGGTAAGCTTTTAGGTTTTGAGCAACACAGTTCAGCTGAGAACCATTCGGATATGAGGACACAGAGGCTTCCAGTCTGAGGAAACAAGATCAGCTGAGAAGTTGGCCAGGTGAGGTTAGCTGTGGCTTGTTGTCTCTCTGACCATCCAGCATTTCACCCCAATACCTGGCCCCGGGTTTGATTTTATTAATAAGATTTTTAAGTTATTTAATAATAACTTTTAAGATTCCTGCTACAGTACACTAATGAAACATTTAGTCATGTCTCAAAATGATTTGTAGAGTGATAGCAGACCTAAATTAATTGTAAAGTTTTACCTTGATGAATACTGAGTGACCCTACCATAATACTTCCCAGGTACTGTAAGGATTTCACAGTTGTAAGTTTTATTATTTAAGTGTATCCATGTTTTGCTTGTATTATATATGCATACTACATGCATGTCTGGTACTCAGGGAGGCCAGAAGTGGTATCAGATCCTAGCCCATGGCTTTAAGTTTTAAATCATCACCACTGGGCTGCTTGGATGGTTCAGTGAGTAAAAGCTCCTGCCACCAAGCAGAGGACCGGGGTTCGATCCCAGGACCCATATGGTGGAAGAAGAAAGCCAGCTCTACAAGCTGTCCTCTGACCTCCACGTGCACATCCATAAAGAAATACATGAGAACGTGATAAAGACGGAAAACAAAAAAGCACCAACACTTTAGCAGCTTTAAGGAAAAACTGATGTCTGAATGGGTTAAGTCTTACCAATTAAGTCATAAAAAGAAAGGGCTTTTCTAATAATCCTCTTTTTTCAGAGTATATTTTTACATTTCAGCACTTCAAATAGTCTTCCTTGATTTTGGGGGCTGCATTTGTTTAAAGGAATCCACAGAGGCAGAGTTGTTCTGCTGGGGACTAGGCCCTGTATACATATGGTTCTGAAGGTAGCAGCCAGGGTTTGAAGGAATGTGGCTATACGGTCAGACCCTGTTCCATTAAAAACAAAACAAAATGTTTGTTTTAAAGCAATCTTTCAAAAAGGTATTAAAAATAATTCAGAAGCGGGAGAGAGATGGCTCAGCAGTTAAGAGCCCACACTGCTCTTTCAGAAAACCTGAGTTTGGTTCCCAGAATCCACACTGTGCAGTTCACAACTGCTTTTAACTCCAGATCTAAGAAATCCAGTATCTCTGGTTTCTGTGGGCATACAAACAAATGATAGTTTTGAAAATTGGTGCCATAATGTAACACATTTTTAGTGTGTGTGTGTGTGTGTGTGTGTAGACCAGAGGTTGACATTGAGTGTCTTCCATTAGTCTCCACATTATTTTTGAGAAAGGGTCTTTGGAGAAGCTGGAGTTCACTGGTCTGGTGGTCTGTCTGACGGGAAGCTTCCGAGTCCCTCTGTCCCTGTGCCCCAGTGCTGAGATTACAGACACAGCCACACTCTTAGCTTTTATCTGGTTCCAAGATCCAAACTCATCCTCAGGCTTGTGTACTAAGCATTTTACTAAGCCACGTACCCAGCCTTTCTGTTGGTTTAAGAGACAATGATTTTAATTAAAGCCCCAGTCAAAATACAAAATAAAGTGTTAAAAAAGAGTAAAAATGATTTCAAATTCTTGAAGCATCAGATCAGAACTTCTGAAAAAGGGGACCACAGCTAGTCAACTGGAATTTACTCCTTGTTTGAGAATCAACACACTCACTCTCCTAAGGAGTTTACCATAACTCAGAAGCCTTAAAAACTAGGCACATCATGTTTTTACTTTCTCTTAACTCAGGGTTTCTATAGCTTGGAGAAAATAAAAAGGAACATTTTGAAAAAATACTGAGTTATGGGCCAGGTGTGGTACCACATACTTTTTCTCCCAGCACTCAGGAGGAAGGCAGATCTCTGTGAGTCAAGGCTAGCCTGGTCTACACAGTGAGTTCCAGGATAGTCAAGTGAGAGTCTGTTTAAAAAAAAAATGAAATAAAACAATAAACTAAGTTACGTTTGAAATTGTGAGTTCAAATTGTACTGTAAGTCACCTAGGATTTTTCATACTGCTTTTTAAATTCTGGGAAAGCATGGTCTGAGTTTCATTTAAAAAATGAGACTGAAAATATACACATGAAAATATGCAGATTTTGGCATGTAAGCCTTTATCAGTAGGCTGTTCCTAATTTATTGATTTTATACCTACATGCTATAACTGTGAAAATTTAAAGTTATAAAATTCCTCATTTATATTTCATACACTTTTTTTAAAAGAAAATTTCTGTTTAAGAAGGGATTGCTCTGTTAAGAAAAAAGTATGGGGCTGGAGAGATGCCTCAAAAGTTAAGATCTTGAGTACTCTTCCAGTAGACCCAGGTTCGGTTCCCTGATCCTACATGGCAGCTCACAAGTGTCTGTAACTCCAGTTCTACTTACATATATATATTTGGGCAAAATGTTCATATACACAGAATGAAAATAAATATTTAAAAGTATGAGGGTTACATACATAGATCAGTGGTAGAGAGCACCATAGGACAGTCACTGTCCTGGCTTTGCTCCCCAGCATTTTTTTTATAAGAAGGTAAGATAGCCATTTATCTAGACACTGGGGAATAATCAATGTATGTATCATGGGATTCTGACGAGATGAAAACATATGGAGAAAGGTGAATGGTTCCTACTCATAGTGGCTTATATCCTAATGCCAAATAAAATCACAGAGTAAGTAATATTTAATAGCAAAATCTTTCTAAAAAACATGTTGTATTCCATTTAAGCACATGTTCTCTCTAAGCCAACGCTTTTGCCAATTTAGTAAATATGAGTTCAATGTTGAGATCTGGCCCCTCTGGTTCTGAGGTAGACAAAATATAATACACACACACACACACACACACACACACACACACACACACACACACACCACACTTTGTCTTTGCTCAAATTCTAACCTAAACACTCATATACACAAAAGGAAAACAAATAAATATTAAAAGAAAAAGTGTGCGGGCTACATATGTAGATCAGTGGTAGAGAGCTTCTTAAGACGTCAGTCTTAAGCTTTGCTTTTTAAAAGAAGAATTCAAATGATATCTAGAACCACAATGTATATCAGAGAAACAGACACACACACACACACACACACACACACACACACACACACACACACACACACACAAACTCGCATGTGCGTGCACGTACATCTTCATAACTTTGGTCTATTAATGTGCAAGGCCATTGCATGCGGTTTCAGAGTTACTCAGCTATTCAAGTCCACAGGCATCCCAGAAATGTCCACTGCTCTCACCACACACCCTGCATGAGGAGAAGAAGAAACAGGAGTAGAGCAAATCCACCCTTCCAAACCACTAGGCAAGGATACTCTTCACTGTTTCGGATGTCGACCACCAGGAGTTTCGGCTTACTAGACTTGGTTTTCTTGGTGGGGGTCTTGAAGTGGCCTGTCACTGTGAGCTCACACAAATCAATCAAGTCCTCTGCTGAAATCCGGGGTGATACTTCTGATTTTAGGTCATTTAAAGTGATGGATTCTCTTGACTGAAAAAAAAAGTACAAGGAACAAAAATATTGACAATTTTATAGGCATTTCATACCATCAGTATAGCCCAAGGAGAAGAGGACTCAAACTCATTTTGGCAATCTATAGGCTCCCTACTAAAAAGACATCAGACTGTCAAACTAGGACACTGGCCTCACCTTTATCCCCATTATATGGTACATGGCTAATTGATATTAGCAGCCATTCTCTGTGTTATTTAGTAGAGAGAAGAATTATTCCCTCCCTGCTCCCACAATAAGCAGTGCAATAAATCCAACCTAACAAAAAATTAATAGAGTATCAGTATTGCTTTTGAAAACTTATGTGATATAACTTGAGAATTTATGAGCTTTCAAGGGTTGGGAATGTACCCCAGTGGAAAAGCGTTTGCCCTGAATGGATGAGGCCCTAGGTTCCATTCCCAGTAAAACAATAAACAAACAAATAACAACAAAACAAATTTTTCAGAATTTACTTGATTAAAAGTATAGAGATCCAAAAAGAAATTATATATTTATATGCTTAATCATTATCAAAATTGGGCCTAATTATTATCTCATTTTCTTAGTTTCATTCTTTGATTCTACTTGGAATCTGCAATTTAGCATTTCTAGGAAAAGAAATACATCACATAAATCATTCATTAGACAAATTTCTTTTGAAAAAAAATGTGTTCAAGTGGAGTTTGATGTCAGCTTTCATCTCGAGAGTTCCTCTGACTGGGTCCCCAATTCTGTAATGGTAAACACTTATTTACTTCCTTTATTAACTTTTAAACAGAAATGAAAACTGCTAAGCTTTTTGGGTCTATGACTTTTAATAAAAATAGGCATTAAGAATGCCAATTTTTTAATATTAGATATTAAAGCTACTTCAACATTTTGAAATTATCAGCAGCAACACACCAGAGTCTCCCTGTCTTTTTTTGTTAGACTGCAATGTTTGCAGGTGTTTCTCGAGGTCTCCGTATGAGCTGTGTACATCTTTGGAGATGAACTCAAGAGCTCGGATTGGCCTAACTCTGCCTGCAGATACTTAGTGATGAACGTGACATTTTGAGTGGAAGGACGTTCACTTAGTCTGAGTGAAGGTTCTTTGCGGGCTGGGGAAGAGTATTCTATAGGAGTGTTCTGTCCAGCACGGTCCTAACCGAATATGAGGGAGGTCATTAGGAGAGAGCACTGCTGCACGGTCTTAAGAGCAGGAGAGGAGTCACCAACAAATCATGACTTCCCAGCCTTCTCTGGATGTACAAAAGAATTTTCGTACGATACACAACTGTCTCTGCAGACTAATTTTAGGAGTTAAATAAACTAAGCTCTTAGGCTAAATTACACTTCTCTAAGAAGAGAACAATAATGTTATTATTATAAAATACACCTTCCAGTAGTTATTAGTTTCCTACGCAATTTTAGTATTTATTATAACATTTATACAAAGCTCCCCCCGCACCACCTCTGTTTTGCTACACCAATAGCACATACATCAGTGTTTTCCTAGTGTGACTGGAGTTTCCAGCTCACAGGGCTTTGCTATAGCCAGTGGACAGGAATTTAGAACAACTACAGAACGGCTCTGCATGCTGACTAATTCATCATTTCAGCCCAAGAACCTATAGATAAAAACTCATATCAAGCTCAAGTTTTATCCAGGAAAGTTTTTTTCTGTTTAACAGTACATGAAACTTAAGAACACAGAATTATTTGTTATTTGGTACTTTTAGATTTGAATTCTTAAAAATTAAAACTTTTCTTTATCTCTTTGCTAAATTTGTGTGTATATGCATTTGGGTGCATGAATGTATGGGTGTAAATGTGTATGTGGGTTCATATTTGTGTACGGGTGTGTGTCCACATGAGGGTACATGTGTGTGATTGTGGCATCCTGAGGCCAACCTTGGGTGTCACTCCTTAGGAGCCATTCACCTTGTTTTCTGAAACAGTTTCACTGTTCGGGAGACAGCTGAGTATGTGAGGCTAGCTGGCTATGAGTTCTAAGGAATCCATCGGTTTCCACCAGCTCAGAGCTGGAATGACAAGGGTACACCACCATGCCTGGCTCTTTAATGTGCATCCTGGGAATTGAGTTTAGGTCCTCACACTTGCACAACAGCCACTTTATGGACCAGGTACTTTCTCAGCCCTTTTCTTCATTTTGTAATATGCTATCGCTATGTTGCTTGGATTGACCTTGAACTTGTGATCCTCCTGTTTCAGCCTTTTAAGTGCTGAGATCAGATGCATGTCACCATATCCAGGAGATAGCAAGCCTAGATAGTGCTGTGACTCACTGACACAGAGTTCTCAGAACAGAGTAGGAGCTCTCTCAGATGAGTCTGCACACTTGGTATTTGCATCTCATCAGCTACCAGAGAGTTGAGAGAGAGTAGCTACCAAGGAAAACTGGGTGAATTAATGAAAAAGTAAAGGAAGACATCTGAGATGAAACATAAGAAAACAGTCAGGGGGAAATATGATGAACACATTTAGTCCTAAAGTTTTAAACATGAGGCTTGGGAAAAGAGAGTTACAGACAGGGTAATAAGAAAGGGTAAATCCAGATTTAGACATGTGAAACTGAGCTTCACAGAGTATACCACATTGAAAATATTAAGACTATAGCTAGAGATGGAAATAGAAATTTGTGAGAAGTCACAGCTGGAGGGTCGTATTAGGTATCAACATTGAACTATAGCTAAATTCATAAGAAAAGGTGAACTAATTAAAAACAAACAAAAACTGGCAAAAATATTGATTTTTGGCAGTCATAGCTCTAAACTGCTGGGACAACCTTAAATGTTCTAGTATTAGAAGAAATAAAGTTGTTTTTAGAAAAAATTCAATCAATTCTTATTTTTCTCCATGTATTACTAAGTAGCCTCCAAAGTACTCAGTATTTCAAGTGCATGTATGAAGGACAGCCTTTTGCAAAAGCTACAGACATAAACTATTATGTTCAAACTTTCAGAGAAAAGCCATTTAAAAAATATCACTCTAAAAAGCCCCATCATCTACAAAGATTTTTTTCTTTACATTTAAATCTATATAGTGCTTCAGTAGCACTTTTTAAGTTTATCTTTCTTATTTTTAGAGGAACAGAGGTTACTGTTTCTAAGATTCAGAAACAGCATCTGCAACAGAGTTTGAAATAGCTGTTCTGCTCTGGAGGCTGCAGAATGCGTTTGTCACACTGGAGAGGCTTTGTTCCCCTAAATAGAAGAGAGATAATGTACGTGAGTATGAAATACAGAGAGGAGAGACAGAATTCTTTTCAGTGATTGAAGATTTCATGCTAAAAATTTCACAGATGTGCTCTATAAAAACTGAGTGCGAGCTAAATTTCTTCAAAGACAGTAATTTTCCCTTTGACTTACAGTATCAGCTTGGGGATATTTCATCCTTTGGGCCTCAGTTTTATCATGAATAATAGAAGAAAAAAAGACTAAATGACACTATTATTTATTTTAACTCTAGTGTTCTGTGACTTTATTTCTGATAAGCAGGAATACACTCCCAAATTCCTGCTTCCTTCCTTGAACAAAAGTGAGAAACTTGTTTAGTACTCTACGTTATTTGATGTTTTGCTTAAAAAGACTCAGGGTGATCAGGCAGGCCTCCTCATAAGCAGGACACACACAAACAGAGCGGTGAAAACTTAGTATCTAAAACCAAGGCTCTGGGTGATACCCTACCCGGCTAAAGTTGTTTTCAGTGAGGATGGAAGAGATGGAGGTTTTAGTAAATGAACAACTTTAGTGTCAGTGATTTCTGAGGCAAAGACAAGGGCAATGTGCTGTGGGATGTTCTGTATGGCAAATGTGTTGCTAATTAGTCAATAAATAAAACACTGATTGGCCATTGGCTAGGCAGGAAGTGTAGGCGGGACAAGGAGGAGAATAAAGCTGGGAAGTGGAAGGCTGAGTGAGAGAGACACTGCCAGCCACCATGATGAGAAACAGCATGTGAAGATGCTGGTAAGCCACGAGCCATGTGGCAAGGTATAGATTAATGGAAATGGATTAATTTAAGCTATAAGAACAGTTAGCAAGAAGCCTGCCACGGCCATACAGTTTGTAACCAATATAAGTCTCTGTGTTTACTTGGTCGGGTCTGAATGGCTGTGGGACTGGCAGGTGAGAGAGATTTGTCCTGACTGTGGGCCAGGCAGGAAAACTCTATCTACAGCAATGTGACACTGTGGGTGGGGTGGGGGCTACTTTTCCTTGCTTACTTGTGTAGGAGTTTCTGGAAATGATTTTTCAAATAAACCCAGAACCTGATCCATTTCCTGAGCAGAAATGAAAAGGATCAAAAGGGTGGAGGACTCCACTCAACCCCTGAGGGCGGAGCTTCTGACTCCTCCCAGGTGCTACTTCCTGACCTCATTAGTTATCTCTCTCACTCTTTTCTTACACGTTGAAGTGCTTAGCAAAACAACACACTTGTTAGGCTGTTCCTTGCTACTCAGAATATTTTTCATCACTTTGCTCACTATGTAACCAAAGACTATCAAATACATGGTCATAACAGTCTCTGATTAGAAGCCTTGGTATATTCTTGTGGAGAAATTCTGCAGTTCTGCCTATTCATTCTTATGCCCACACCAAGAACAAGGTGGTGAGTGAGGTCAATAAAGGGCTTGCATTATTCTTATGATTAATTTCTGATGAAACATTTGCCGGCTACTTTTTTGTCATCTTGGAAGAGGGAACTTCAGTTGAGAATGCCTCTGTTAGATTGGTCTGTAGGCAAGTCTCTGGGCATTCTCTTGATTAAAGAGAGATGTGCAAGGGCTCATCCCATTGTGGGGAGTGTTACCCCTGGGTTGGTGGTCCTTGGTTGTATAAGAAAGCAGACTGAGTAAGCCATGGGGAGCAAGTCAGTAAGCAGCATTCCTTCACGGCCTCTGCTTTAGCTCCTGCCTCCAGTGCTTAAGCTGACTTCCCTTGATGATGAACTGTAAGCTGATATAAACCCTGTTTTCCTCATGTCACGTTTGG